CCCCCCCCCCCCCCCCCCCATTATTTTAGAGAAGGGGAGCTTTATGTTCAGAAAACAAGTAGCTTGTCCATCTCTGATGTCAGAAGTGATTCAGGCTGATCCTGAACTGTTCTTCAGGAGACCTGAAGACTGCGTAGATATTGGGGAGCGAACTTCTTTTTTAGTAAATTAAAGGCACAAAAATAGTGCCTCTGCCAGGTGTTTGTAACAGGCAGTGACATTTCACAGGCAGGGGTTGGTTGTTGTTTTTTTGTTGTGGTTTTGTGGGGTTTTTTTAGCAAATGAAAGGAAAGTTGTCTTCTTGTGGTTTAGTCAGAGGTAATGAGTTTATTTATGACAGGAGGGGATAGAGAGAGAGACCTCTGTGTGATGTTTGCCCTGTTATGACACTTCAGGTGTTGCATCACTTAGTACTTAGCTCGTCAGAGTTTGTTAATCAGCAGCTGTAGGAGGTATGTAGTTCCTGTGCGGTGTCTGGCCAGTGGGAAAAGCTGGGGAGCAGCTCAAGAGGTAAGCCTGGTACTCCTGAGAGCTCCACCTTAGGTTTTGCAGCTGGGAAAACAAGGATTGAGGTATCTAAGGCACCTGAGTAGTTTCTAACCAAACAAGAAGCTAGTGGCTCCTCTTCTCTCCATTACAAGTATAGTTAACAGCAATTAAACCACTCGGATGTCTGTGGTTCTGCTCCTACAAAACTTCCAACCTGTACACCTAAGAATACCCAACCGCCAAGTTAGAGATGCCACTGAGGGGAGGAGGAGGGAGTGTTGGGAGGAGCTGGGCAACTTGTGCTGCAGAGGTCCGCTCACTGAATACCAAATACTGGTGGGAGGAGCAAAAACTGTACACCTGGAAAGGCCCCTGCCCAGTGACCAGCTCAGCTGCCAATTACCCGGACAACAGGAGTGACAGATTTGTGCCCATTTAGTTTGAGAACTGCACATCTTAAATGTTTCAGCATCCAGGCTGTTGGATAGTGGGAGATGCTGCCATTATTTGTGCTTTATTTTAAAAGCAGTTGAGGCCTGGATGTAGTCAAGTGGGGAAATGCCTACTTTGCCAAGCAAGCTGAGGTCAGCATCTCACCAAGCTTTAGCACTGGAGAAGTGGTGACAAAAGACATGTAGGCACCCTGAGGCTTTGGGGTGTAAGTATGGGGGCTCAATGGGTTTACATACCTACAGACAGGGCTAATGAGACGCTTTTTGTGACTTGCAGGTGACAGGAAGAGCAAAATGACGCTTTTGAGTTAGAGGCATAACTGACAGCGTGACATTTGCAGGGTAGAAATGTTTTGAAGTTTGTTGGTACGAAATGCTACTGTCTGGAAAGGGGGTGCTTAAAAGCAAGAGAGTCTGTACCTTGGGGTACAGCTGGGCACGCTCGCTTCAGTAATCAGGGAGAGCAGCGAGTGAATATCCCAGGCTACCAACGGGGCCACCAAGGGCAACTGTGTGGCAGAGGAAGAGGCTGGCTGGGGATATTGTAAGCCACCCACAGCAGCAGCCATTGCCAGGGGACTTCCTCAGGAACTGAGTGTTTGGGTGGCTTTTTGCCTTTTTAATCTTCTACGTGTACTCTAATGCTGACGGGAATGCTGGGGGTACTGCAGCGTGGAGTAGGTGTCCCCTGGCTGTCACTGGCCAGTCACTGACACGGAATTCAAGCCCCAAGGCTTTCTGTGCCTGTAGTTCATTTTCCTTGCAGTGGTTGCAGACACAACTGTAGCAGTTGGTCTATGTATTTGAGCAGAAAAAAGTATCATGTTATTGTTCTTAATTAATTCTTTAATGAACTGCAGCTTCGTAAGTTCTTTTTTAACTCAGCCCTAATTGCCTTATCACCTAAGGGGGGGGAAAAAAGCAGAACCCTTTAGTCCTCTAATGCAAAACCAGCAAAAGTAGAAAGTTTATTTTTATTTCTCAGATCATTTACATCTCTTAAATTAAAACTGTAGAACTCCAGTGGCTCAATTCTAGGTAGCTCCCCCCAGCTCCAGTCGAGTTTGATGTCCCGCTCTTAATTCAGTCCTGCAGTGCTACTCAGGAAGCACAAGCAATACCGATGCAAGAGCTACGACACTGTGACTTGACTTAACCTTCCCACCAGAGGTTTCTGACCGGCAGCAGCATCCTGTTTTGCTGGAGCTGCCCACCCGTACACACGCCACACAATTCACAGTAAACACGCTCTGGCACAAACCTGCCACCTCCTTCCTGGAAAGGAGAAGGGGCAGGATCTTAGACGTGCCCCAGAACATGAGCTCAGTTATTTACTGCTAAACACAAATGATGGCTAAAGCTCATGGAGATCCTGTTTTTCAGAAATCAAACAGCTCTTGTTCTTGCTGCCTGTTGAGACTTCGGATCCTGGAAGGAGGCGAGGACAGCAGGCCCGCAGGAAGCAGGCTCTGAAATGGCACTTGTTTACATCGCATTACCACAGTCTTAACCATTTCTCTATTTCTCTTCTAAGAACTCGCCTGCAGGCTGAAGTGCCGCAAATGAGAAACACAAGCGAGGTGACAGAGACTGCTCACTTACACACCCGGCCCTCTCTTTACCTTTCAGGTCTGCTCTGCACCCGGCGGAAACCTGGGCTTGTCTGAGGCTCACCTAAAGACACCTCTGCAGAGAGCAGGCACACCTGCTGCTAATTTCAACTGGTTTCTATTTGTTTATAACTACAGAGGCATAAATATTTTTAAGCATTACCAGCTACCGAACTTCCTAGGAAAACAGCTGAGACTTTTCTGAAAGACTTTTAACAGCTATTACATAATGTGGACTTAATTCATAATTTGTACAATTTTTTTATAAAATGTTTTTATCTATTTTTATAATTGACCATAGATGTCTTATTTACAGCCTAAAATATCAATAAACTTCAGCAGATTCTTACATTCCTCGGTTTGTCCTTCCGACAGCGTGTGCACGGGGTGGAGGAGAAGGGGCTGTTTGTCCGTCCGGCAGGAAGCAGACTGCACTCCTCCTCCTAAACTCTGCCACAATCTACCCGAGAACTTGATTCTTACAGGGTATTCACCACTTTTTATACAAAAGTGAGAATCCCAACATAAGGATAATTGAGGGTTGTCTTCTGGTTAACTGCACCCTTGTGTTTTTAAAAGTTACTTTCCAAATACCAGATCGTTTCAGAAAGAATTTATCTGAATCTTTTGCTAAGTACATAAGAAAAAAGTTTCTTCAGTGTAGTTGTAGAATTGCACTAGTAAAGGGGGGAAAAAGCGCAAAGACCAGTTCTGCATTAATAAAGCTACCTCAGCCAGAATGAAGACATAAAATGTAACAAAAATAGGAGTACAACACATGCAAGAAGTTACCATTTGCTGTGGGACATAGTCTTTCCTTCCCTTGTATTTTAGGAGTTACTAGTGGTACAGCCCTGACATCAAAGTGGTTTTTTCCTCCCCATTTCAATTTCCTGCCGTATTAAACTGCCAAACACATCTGATCTCCTCCCTCAACTGCTTCACCAATATGACAATAAACATGCTTCAAATGGCCTCAGGTCTTTAGGGACAAGAAAGCCTGAGGACGAAAAGTCCTCTCGAGTTGAACTCTGGGTTTTCCATGGTAATGATCTGACAATTTTTTGAAGTGTCACTACTTTATAGGTGGTTACTCAAGGAAGAATATACATGTATCAATGTAGGAATATGCAAGTTTTTTTTTTTTTTTTTTTTTTAAATTTAATTTTTATAGCTCCACAGCATAAATCTGTGTTTAAATAGGAGACAGTGCCTATAGGCTACGTGCACAAAGGAACTCAGGCACCAAGTCCCAACACTCAGGCTTCACCGAGATCCTGGAGCTGCCGTGCCTCCACCCGAGGCACGGCCGGACCCTCAACCTTTCTGGACCTGCCTCACCTCCCTGCTGGTGGCTGCTGGTGGCTGCACACAGAGCACCCCTGCCAGCCACCCGCCTGCACTATGCGTTCGATTTCAACAAAGCATCCTGGGCTGTGAGTACATACAGCTGGAAGGAGATTTTCATACTCATCCCAGGCTTAGACTCAATTCATTATGTTGCTGGGAGTCTAGAAGGATGCAATTCCCTGCAGCAGCTACTCTGTAGCAATGAATTTAGCCACAGACAGCACCAGGTCTACCTATCTCACATTTCTCCTGCCCCCACTTCTACCTAGGCCTAAAATGCTTAGTTTTACAAAGTTTACAAGCGTCAGACTAGGTGATCAAAGCCAGGAAAACCCACGTCCACAGCCAGGGTGTGACCCCGTGACAGGGGCTGCAGCCTGACCCCCCTCTCCTGCCGCTGCCACAGCTGAGCCCCCGGTCACTCACCTCCCAGCATCACTGACCTGGTGGCTGCTGGCTGGCTCCTTGGCTCATGCTCTTTCCTACCGCAAGGTGGGGGAGGAAAAAAAAAAAAAGAAGGTTAAAAAAAACAAAAGAAGAAGACAAAAACCTGAGAGCTGGATGAAGCACCTCTATGCCAGGGCAGCGTTCATGTCTGAGAACGGAGCTAAAACCCAGCTGAGCGACTGCTGTAGGGACCTCAGCCCTCCCGACCGGCTGGGTCAAACGGCCCCGGACCAGCCTAGGGGCTTCAAAGAGTCCCACTTCAGGGTGCCCTGCAAATCCCACCTTCCCAGCTTTTTCTCTCCTTACCCTCACACATTCCCTAGCTATGGGATGTGAGGCTCAGAATTTCATTAGATGACTAATCACTTAAATTGTGGGTGTTCTGACAGGAACGTAACCCTGTGTATCGCTACCACAAAAGTGTAACCCAAATTTACTTTTACAAGTGACACACACCTCGTAGGGTTAACATGAACCACCGAGATGGAAATAGCCTCGGTCCAAAGCACAGATACATCTTGCTTAGTCATAAAAACTTTTTTTTTTTTTTTTACAATATTGTAACTTAATAATTTACAAGCCGAAACTGATCACCCAGTATTTGAAATACGTCACAGAGAGTTACAGTTATCACTAGGACTTCACAGCAAATAAAACTTGTAACTAAACATGCACAGATCATTATATATATACAGTGATAAAAAAATAACGATGTACATTTTCTTGTAAGAAGAAATTAAGTAAATTCTTTGTGCATTTCAGGATTGAAGCATCTAACCTATATAAAATTACTTTAAAATATGAAGTAAATATTTAACCCAAAACTTGAGAAATCTTTCGTAATCTGCAATATAGCCTTCTCATTTCAATTTTTCTTTCTCTGACACAGAACTTCAGAATTTTATCCTCTATGATATTTAATAGTAATGTGCAGATATAAAAAAATACGTCCTTTGTGGCAAGCTTGAACATATATATATATTTACAAACCTCCAGAACAAATTAGCATTAAAAAACACAGAAGTAGCAGATTGACATAGTGCTTTATTTAAGCTGTCTGTACGAAGGAAAATAATGTGCATCCCTATCATATACGTGTAAAAATACTAAGGATGTACAGTGTACAAAAACAGTTTCTTGTAGTTATTTCACATCCTTGTGGGTCATATACTTAAGGAAATAAACAGTTTAAGTATGACCAACAGTAATACGGTTTCTTGGGTTCATAGTCGTGTCTGCTTAATATCCTTAACCATATGACTAGATCTTGCATGGATCTAATGAAAGAACTAGCAAGGTCAAGAAATGTCACAAACTCTAAAGCTACAGGGAGGTAATTCAATTACCAATTTAGAGGTTTTTATTTAAATAAATACTTTACATTTCATGCTTGCCTGTAATGCACTACCAGGAGCAAGATAAGGAAATTCTACTGTAGACAGTACAAACAGTAGCAGCAAAGTGTGTACATTGAGGTGTAATATATAGACCCTGCAGTTAGTAAGGAAAGACCTTACTTTTGTACTCTAGGAGAAGCACATGGCCCCTGCAAGAACAGTCAGCTTTAAGAAGCTGCAAGTAAAGATGGAAAAAAAACCTGTAAAACAATACTGGAATAAATGTTCTTGAAGCAACAGGAATGTACTGGAAGATGGATTAGTGTGGAAAGCGAAGCTGTGTGCAAAACTGCCAAAAATCCAAACAGAAATGACCTATTTCCTCTGAGATGGCTGCAGTACAAGAGGGCATACTGTACGTCATGGAAGTCAGTACAAGCTGGAGTCAAGTCTGAAATGTACTGTGCTCAAAAGGCTCACCAAGGAAACCAGCCACCACCTCCCAAATCCAACCACAACTGTGAACAGCAAAAGAAGAGCTTCAAAAGTTTCTCTGGGCACCCCTTGCCCATTTGTCTTTCGTCCCGTTTCTAACACTGGTAAGAGAGAGAATCCCCCAACCCCGGGCAGCACGAAGCAGCCACTGACTCTCTCTGTAGCATAAACTTGATCAATGACGTTTTGGAAGGCAGACAATACAAAGCACAGCGAAGTCTTAAAAGGTTTTCAAATAATTCACTGACAGGTATTTACTGCGAACCGCATTCTAACTAGCTAGGCGATGGTGACTGACCACAGGGCTGCTTCTGCGCGCCAGGAAGGGCTGCCCAGAGGCACGGCACCAGCTGTGGTGAGCTAGAGGTGCCCTGTGTCAAGAAACTTATTGCTATTACAAGCTGAAAACATTGGGGGGAAAAAACACAGGCATATAACACAGATTTTGAATCACCATAGTTTTAGTCTGTAAGTACGAGGCCTTTGCAGAGAACTAAGTAATGCCCGTCTATTGAACACTCGGTTATTTCACTCACTCACTCACTGTGTCAGTGTAGACGCCTCTAAACTACCCGTCCAGAAGAGACCTGCAATGCGCTTGCTGTGCTCCTCTCTCTCGTAGAGGGATAATCTCTACATGTATTTAGTGTTACAAGGTGACAGAATGAGATCCTATGTAGTTAGAATATACATCATGATATAGTTCTGATTATCCACACTAAAGATAAAACACGAAACATGAAAAATTGTCTAAATTAGTCTGCGTCTTTAGCTGCCTTGCTAAAATGCCCATCTACCCCTTGACTGTCCCAGCACATGCACTGCCAGCAGTGGGCTTCATGCTCGGGCACTTAACTTGCCGCATCAAGAGGCTAAGGCATCTGCGTAGGAATATCTCGCCTTTCAGACTCATCTACTCATTCACACAACGCAACCAGGAATACTCTGCGACATCACAGTCTTCGTGGGAGCTAACAAGATCCGAACGCAGAGATACTTCGAATGATAATCCCATGGAGTCAGTTTTCCGACGTCGTTAGCAAGGGCACATGCACGCTACCACGGCACTGCGTAATGTCCCGACTCCTAGCACCAAAGGGTTTATTATTAAGATTATCATTGCTGAAGATCAAAGCTAAAGTTTATGCACACATTCTGTTAGATACAGATCTTCGGAAATGGAAAGACGTTCTCCTCTCAGTTTCTTGTGATGTTTCGAATTCAGTCAATCAGGTACCACGGTTACACGTAACATGCTGGGTTTCGGGACTCTTTTGGTTGAGGGCAAACCTTGCTTGAGAACGGCTGATCCCAGAAATTTACTATTTTAATTATTAAAATAAAGTGCTTTTCTTGTAATCACTGTGGTCTCGTTGTTCAAATGCAATTCCTTCATATAGAACAGAAATTTTCTATTGTGCTGTCAGGCTCTTACATTACGTTCATCCTCAGTGGAGCACAAGATGTAGCTTTTTTTGTCTCACCTCCATTGCCAAACAATTAAAAGACAGTATTTCATTCACAAAAATCTGATTCTAAGCAGTATGTACAATTTCAGAGCCTTGTTAGAATTTCCACATGGGAGAAAAGTGCATTATTCCCTTCAGCTTGTACAGTCTTTCCATATATTACAAAATTAACTGCTGTAAGCCTGTTCTAAGATGTAGCAGCACTTGCAAACATGACACATACAATCCTTATCTCTAAAAATAAATACTACTGCAGTAAACCAAAAAAAAAAAAAAAATCAACCAAAAAACACCAACCAAAAAAAACAAACCCCCAAAGAATATTCAGAGTTAACACCTGGAGAAAAAGCTAATTCACAAACTCAAAATAAAACGGGTAAGGCAAACACCTGTTTACCTTGGGTGCACACATTTTGGTGAAAAGCAATACTATTATGCCTGTCTACATTCTTCAGCCATCAGAGGTGATGTATATCATGAAAGAAAAAGAAAAGCATGAGAAAGATGTTATCTGGTGCAAATTATAAGACCCCTTAAACAACTTCAACTGCTGCTTTTATGCCTTCATTTCTTGCATGTATAATGTTCGATTCTCCATGATTGCACATGAACCTGGAAGTTCTAAGTGGCAGGCTGGGTGACCCCAGCCCTTCTGCTTCTTCTGTAGTATCCAACAGTAATTAAAAAATAATATATATATATTTATATATATCAACAGTTTAAGTCCTTCTCTCAAACGTTTCCCAAACAAATTCCAGCCAGATGTTAATGACAGAGACCTGCTTCAAGTAATGATATGCCTAACAGAAACCTTGCATATGTACATCACCACCCCTATGTTTCCTTGTTCTAACCAGCACAAACAGATGCAAGAAAATGTTATAGACTGGTCTTTTTAGACTAATTACAATTTTGATTCATCTTCTGGAAGGAGATAAGCTGGACCAACTCGTTTTTTTGTTTAGCCTCCACTGTGAGGAAAAATAGATGACTGCTTGTGCACAAAGTGTGCAACGCTGAAGTCGAGTCATCTACCTCCAAAGAAACTGTTAGTAACTTCTTGACGTTGCTATTATACTGAGACTGTGGGCAGCAGCAACAGCAGGAGAGCGTAGTAGAGAAAATCTCATATTTCATGCAAAACCAAAATGGATTTTAGGTAGGTTTGGGAAAGAAACTTGTTCAATTTGGAATAGTCTCTGAAAGTGCCCCTGCTATCTTAAATAGCATCTAGTACTGGTGGTGATGTTCAGGAATCATTTTCAGTGATAAACCTAAGATGACAGTGAAGCAGCAGAACAAAAAAGTTATTCTCGTCCACTTGCAGAGTAGGAAAACTGGGGGAAATGCGGCCGCCTCTCATTGTCCATGCAGTCCATACCGTCCTCGTCATCTGTAGTAAGGGAGAAATTCAAAATGTCATTATATTTGCAACAAGATTTTATTATTCACCTGATATGCAGTACATCTTTTCAGATTCAATGCTGAAGTTAAAGGCTCAAGTAGAAGTAAGACTTTATTCATGTAAACTTACGCTCATACATAGAATTTATTTCAGGCTGGGTTGGTTGGTTTGTTTATTATGATTATCACCTGAGAACTCCAATCATTACTACCCCTTTTAGGCTAATCAAAACATGCCAGCACATCCAGCTCCTGGTAGCACAGAAGCTGATGGAAGGAGCCAGTTTTCATTGTTTCTTAAGATGAGTTCAGGAAATTATAATCTTACTGTAGATATCTGTGAATATTCCTCCATTTGAAAAGGAGATAAAAGGAAAAACAGCTACAAAATGAACAATTCATGCAGATTCTATGTGTTTCAATTCTTACATACTATTTTTTAGTAAACTATTTATTTTTACAGTATTTACTGGGATCAGAGGAAACATGGACTAAGCCAAATTCATAAATATTTTTATTTACATAATTCCTGCAGTGCCAATGGAAACCAGGCACCAGATGTTGCCTAACTCTGAGAATTTGGATCTACATTCTCGCACGGATTTTTAAACACTGCTTATCCTTATTGACTCCTATTGAAACCGTTATTCTAATGATGTATTTATATGCAACCTTTCAGAATTATGCATCTTTCATATCTTCATATATTCTATGTGTAAACACCAGAGTTAAAGCAGGTTTGTTATCATTAGCCTGTTTGACTTCAACAGCGCCTCTCAGTTATGTCACTTCAAATGCAATCTCCCTTTTACACTGTCAATTTAAATTAAGTTAATGTACACAGCTTGTCTGTTTTGCTACCAGTTTGATTACTATAGATAAAAGATATAGTTTCAATATTCACTTAGCGTGATTTGTAAAAAACTTTGATATCTAAATAACTGGCCTAAATACTATGAAAATTATTTCTGTGGCTATAAAAGATCTTTAGTTCAGCAAACTTTCTGATACACAGTTACCAACCCTCCATCCCTACAGCACATTTTAACTGCCTTAATCACATCAGACAGGTGATACCATATTGTAGATAATACAATTACTTAATAGATTTTAAAGAAAAAGAATTAAAAATCATCACCCTCCATTTTTTCATTCTTATCATTGGGGTGGGGTTTTATGCTTCAGCAGCCAGACCATAACCAGAGGCCAGGATGGGTACTTTAAGCAGGCAGGTCATTTCCCTGCATTGCTCTGAATTCAATAAATTCAAAGCTGAAGACTTGGTTGCATCCACATATTTTGTATTGCTCAACCTTTGAGGGGTAAATAGCCATTGTCATTGCATATCTGGAGTTTAAAGAGATCAGGACTTTATGATACTGAATTAGACTCCAAGTTAATCCAAATTTTAGCAAAATTTGTTCGATTTGCAAATATTAACAAAATCAAGATAGATGGGAGAAGAAATGATTATTTTTTCACAGTAGGAAGACTTAAATCCCTTAAATGACTGTGTTCAAGCACTTCAAATGCAAAAATCCAGAAAATACTCCAGATTTGTAAACCAACATAAAGCTGCAGGTTATCATCTATAGCTGTTACTGTCCACCTTTGTGATCCTCCTTCCCCATGACCCCAATTTAAAAAAAAAAAACCACCAATACACAGACAACCTCAATTAGAAAGGAAATTGATTCCAGAATTCAGCAGCGAGATTTTAACTGCGCTGGCTTGGTAAGTAGCTCTGTTAAGCCCTATCTTGGCCGAACAGATCATGATCCTTGTGTGTGTAGCAGATGACGACAAAAATACAAACTGCAGTGAAACTACATTCACTCCAACGAAGAAACTCTGTGTAAGCCCAGCGCAGCAGTTACATCCATAATAACAATTTCTTTAAGAGCTCTGCTGAAGTACAGGACTTGATAGGAAATTTCATTTTCAAGGAATTTATATCTACACAAGAGACAACCTCTTGTCTCGGGCAGCTATTTTTTAAATTTCTTTTGGTCTTCAAAGAAATTTAAAATATGCCTAACTTGCTAAACCAAGACAACACCCTGAAGTCACTAGCAGCATCCACATGCTTAGAGCAGAATCCATACTCCATGTACTTTGCTCAACTGGGACCTTTAATCCCAACCAGCGAATATTTGAAGCTGCTGTTTTCACTTATTTAAAAAAACAAAACAAAACAACCACACAACCCAGAGTGATCTGGTATTCTAAGCTTTGTAATTACTCCTTCTTTAAAAGAACTCTGTAATTGACAGTTACTCTTACACACTTTTGTATGAAGACTTTTACTAGTAGCAGTGAGAACAGCTTTTCCATCCAAAGTGAAAAAACCTTACAGTGCTTTATTATAAACTGATTCTTTTTAAGTTATGCTTATGTATAATTTCTGACTTACATTTTTCAGGCGGCGTTATTGTAATAGTCTGAGCTGTAAATTCTTCATCAAAATACCTGGTGTCTGTCTCGGATGTCACTTGAGGTTTAAAAGGAGGTACAAGCTGAAAGGGACCAAGAAATAAAATGAAATTACTATAGCTGAAACCAGCAAAACTACTACCAGGTAAACAAATAAGTTCTTTTTATATATATACCCCAGGTCAAACCTCTGTGGTTTGTAGGTCTGTAGAGAGGCAGCTGAGCCTCTAACTTGTAGAAAGAGACACAAGTCATGAGAGTCAATCCTAAAAATACTAGTTCAGAATCTGGCTAATAAACCCATACAGCTAAACTCTAAGTATCACTCTCACATGACTTGCGGATAAGTTGAGCTGCATAAAGATAATTACCTAGAAACTCTTCAGACCATTCTAATTACCCGCAGAGATGTCAGGCAAGGGCAACTCTAGGTACTTCACCACAACTAGGTGGTATAAAGAGCTAAGGCAAAAAGGACTACACAGATAGCATAGCAAGCATGATGTGTTTTCTTTTTCATGGTCAAGGCCTACATCTAAGCTTACCTTTAGAAGAAATTATGTGAAAATAAGTTTTATATTTGAAAAAAGGCTGGTTCATGCTTAAGTGAGTTGCTGGATCTAATCCTGCCTACTGCTTTCACAGTACAATAAGGTATTTCCCAGCACCACTAGTATCTGCTCACAGCTCACAGGCAGGACTTCCTCATCCCTCTTTTGAACCAGCCTTGCTATCCACCCTCTCCTCCAGAACAACAGCCTACCAGCCAAAGATTTTAACGGGAAGGCATACTCAGTATGGGATATCGGATTGCATGCTGCCAGTCCAAATCAATACAGCAGTTTAGCATATATGATAATGCCAAGCGAGGGAAAGGGGATGCAGAAGACAATGGGGTTTTTTTGTAATTTGGGAGCTCTTTGGTGCTATCTGCTCACAGACAATTTCAAATGCACACCCTGAAGGTAGTTTATCAATCTTTCTTTCTAGGAAAAATTAAATTATGGCCAACTGATATTATCAGAGCTTGCCTGTGGCTTTCACCAGTTTTACATTCTCAACTCCAGAACACTAACACCAAACAATTAAGTTGTTAATTTACCCCACAGGAAAGGAAGCAGAACTGCTGTTAAACCCCCTCCCCTCACTGAGTTCAATGCACTAATCCTTTTAAAAGACACTTTCATAGTTCTCAGCAACTGAAGTAAACGTTAGATCAATTCAGTATGAAAAAAATCCATTAGCTAACAGGTTACTAGAACAATTTTACTACTTCCCTGATTGGGATTTTTTTTCCAGATCACAAACAGAAAACGCCATTTCACAAGAATTAAAACTTTTCACATGAAAATACAAGATTCCTTGTTTCTCAAGTCAAGGACAATAAACAATGTCTTTCCAATGGCACAATGCACACCTCCAGTAGAACAAACCGCTCTCGCTAAAAAGTAAAACAGAGACCTTTAATGCTACAACTATTATGTGAAAAGAAGGAGAAAACGCTCACTATGCGGTCTTTAACAACTGTGATTTAGGCAAAGTAGTTCATGAAAAACAAAAGGAAGGTCAGGTAAGATCACAATATACAGCAATGTATGGATCTGCAACTGGAGAGGAAAAGATAATGCAATAGCTGACAAGTTTCTTCCTCAAAAAATTACTGGTTTGCCTAGGGTTTTTTTTCCCTTTTTTTTTTTCTTTTTTTCTCCACCAAAATGAACAGGCCTCATTACAACTTTAGGTCACCCCCTTGTTCTCCCCATCTATCTGAAATAGTAATAGTCATGAAAATACTTTGAAAACTTCCTTTTAGAAAAAGAAGCACAGTACTAAACTTGTTCCTAAGGAACAAATAATTACAATAATAATTTCAATCAGGTATGAAAAGCACCGTTAAAACAAAATTCATCAGACACAGGTGATGGGAGAAAGTTGGTGCTCCAATTCGATGCTCAGTAGCTAGGCTTAATAGAAAACTGGTTATCAATGGCATCCAGTAAGTCAGCTGATTAAACTTCCAGTTATGGTAGAAGTTTACTTCTGACTGGGGGGGACGAAGCAAGTAAAACACACCAAACTCCAGGCTGTAACCAGAAGGGAGGAATCCGATGCAAATTTATCTCACTGATGCTTTGAGATTCATCTGTCTTACAGCAGTACCTTTCATATCCTGGACATTAAAAGCAGTTGGAAACTTCAGTGACTGCAAAAACAAACCATGCAGCCATGTGGCTCTCTGCAATGGCTTAGGCTTGTATTTATACAAGCTACACCCTCACATACACCAACCACCCCCGACAGCCCATGGGAAAGCGGAAATGGAAACTGAGATGAAGATGCACAGATACAGCTCCACTGTGAGCAGCAGGAAGGTTTCTTAATTCTTTCCGTACACTTTGCCTCCTTCCCTCACAGTACGACTTCCACCAGCACAGCCATGAGGATGGACAGAACTGAGGACCACTCCTTTTGACCTGCTCTACCCCACTCACACCAAAACAACTGTGGCTACAGTTTTATGGACATCCCCCCCCAGATCTGGCATCACAGGCACACCTCACCCCAAATAAATGATTTCTCTGACTTTCATATAATTGTTGGCATACTTGCCAGACACACTTGCAACTCTTACAGGAGAATCTCTAAAATAATTCATTGGTTCCTGTGGATTTCTTGTCAAGAAATGAGGAACCCGCACACGGAACTCAGGCATCACCTCCAGAAGAAAATTAGATAAATGCAGTAAGAAATCAGTTCCTAACAACCTTTCAGACAAAGCATGAGCACAGAGTATGGTATAAATTATGTGCACAAGTGTACGCCGAGCGACACAGTATGTCAACACCCCATTTGGAAGACTGGATACAGAACCATTCAAGACAGATTTTGTAAGGCACATCACTAACATGCCAGGCCATGCCTCAGAAACTTGGCAATCATCTTTTTGGAGGAGTGCCACCTTTGTTCATTAATGGTCAGATTTTATTTAAAAACAGAAAGTAAAATCACCACAAATTTCAGCTGTTACGAAATCACTGGATAGACAAATAAGGTGCAACCGCTGCAGAGACAACCACTTGGACTGACAGAGCCTGAATAACAACTCAGAAGTTTCACCGTACATCCCAAGAGAGGCTGAAGCTAAGGCTCAATGACGAAGAACAAAACACCCAATGTTAACTACAGCTCTGACAACCACAACATGAAGACGCCACTTTACACCCAGCAGCATGTTGTGTTTGGTGCTACAAGGAAATGGTATCCAGCTGCTATCACCACAGCTCCTCCCCGCTTCTGACCTGAGAAGTCAGAAAGTCCAAGAGTAATGTGAGCTCTGCAAGGCACACCCAGTACCTGTGTCCAAAAGGAGTAAGATGAGTTTTTGTTAAGTGCAGGCCTTGTCAGTCTGCGTGAGAATCGCTCTGCTCGGTCCCAGCTGCAAAGCTTTAGTCCGGGACGATTTTTCTCCTCTAGTGGTCTGGGTAAATTCAGGCAGAACAGACTCGAACCAGACAGGAGACTGCAGCTTCAGCACCCGATAATTTACTCTACGGACTATGAATACAGATTTTCTGTGTTCATGCACTACGCACACACACAAACACACATGTATGTGAGCATACAAAGAAATAAAAAGTCTAAACTCACTGTGATTTAACCGACCAAAAGAGTGGATGTTCAAGACAAAAATCCAATTTCACACCCATCTGTCAGGCTGAATCTGCCCTGGCCATTTCCAAGGCTTGGTGTTAGAAACAGCAGCAGAAGCAATATCAAATTCTTAGTGTCTTTATTAGCTTAAGTGAATGGCATTTCCATTTGGCATCCATTGAGAGCAGTGTGTGAGAAACACCACTGTTTTTGCACAGTTGGAGACCTGGGAAACTTGCCACCCATCTCTCAGGGGAAGGAGAGGGGCAGGTATAGTACCTGACTGTTACAGTCACACAGAGATGAACAGACAGGCTCTGTCCTGCACCTTGAGCTTCCTCACGCCTACTGAACAACTGCATGAATACTTCAGTATGAGGGAAAATATGTAATGTTATTGCTTAAAGACAATCTGACAGGAATTGTTTTGCCTTGGTGTTGTATAGGGAGTGGCTGAAGCTACCTGAAAGTAACTGCAATGCACTCCATCTGCCAAATGAATAATATGGCACTTAAGAACATCAGTTTGATCTTCCTTTTTAAGAAAATTTTCCTTCCAATGAACTCAAAATTAACACAACCGTAAGAATTTCATCCACCAACAGACTGCAGCCGAATAGTATTCCAAGATGAAACATGAAAGGAGTAAGAGGTGCAGCTACACACCATCCCCCAGAATTTTCATTTAAATAAACTAGATAACTAGATTATAATATCAAAGCTCTCAAGCACACTCATTCTTTATATGATTTTTTAATATATATAGGGAACTTATATGAAACATTCTATATGTATCTTATAAGTAATAAAGAGTGAGCACTGTTGTTCAGTTTCAGGTTTTATCCCTAAGGAATAATCATTTGAATCCTACTTAATTGTTCAACTTCAGCATGACATTCCAAGTTGTCCAATTAAGAAAAAAAGCCATAACTGTCATATCCGGAGATGTATGCCTCTTCTTTACTAATAAATTACTATTTATGAGATTAACTCTGTTTTTCTCACATCTTATGTATTTTGAAAATAACAAAACAGATATTTCAAGAATACCTTGCATTGTCATCATATGCTGTATTTCAACAGTTTCCATGCAGTTTATTATTCAAGTCTGACATACATCAGAAACTATGTCAATTGTTACAGTTCTTTCTGGTTATGAAAGTTAATTATGTATTGGTAATTAAGTGTTCATGATCTGATGTCCAGAAATCAAACTTTCATCTGCTTTAAACTTTCCCAAAGAACAAAAACTGCAAAGTAGTTATTTTGAAGAATGAAACAAGAGATAGATTGGGCGAAAAAGAATGATGGAAAAAATAAATTATACTGTGAGAAGAGAGTGGGGTCACATCCCTGAAATACACTTCTGTATTTCATCACAAGCACGCTCAGCTGGAAGTGCTGAAACATGTCACAATTCACAGAGACTTCCAAACCCCCCCAAAAAAAAGTATTTGTATTAACAAACTAACTTAATTATAATCCAAATAAACAATCTATTTTCACATAAACTGGAATTATTAACTTACAAAATAAGAAATTTTAAAAGGATACTAGCAAAGCTTATCTCAAAATTTGATGGTTTTCTGATGCATATCTGTTAATATGTGTTCCCTCATTTATGTCTTCTCTCTATGCTCCCTTCAAAGTAAATGCTTGGTGACCCTAAAAATCATGCAGAGATACTAACAACACAAACCCTTAATGTAGTCTTTCAACATTAGATCCTCAACAACATTTTAATGAAAAATACTTACACCCTTTAAAACACTGATTTTCCTTTCCTAACAATTTTTGTCCTTTTTCTGATATTAGCTCAGTCACCAAAGGGAACAGGAGCTGATGAGCTAACGCACTCTGTCAGTCTGTCCGTCCTTCCCTAACAAATTCCGAACAGCTGGGCAAAAGCACCAGGATGGAGAAAAGACTAAGCACATCCACTTCCCACAGAGTTTGTGTATCTAGTTTAGTGAATAGAAGAGACGCATCTCTCTCCATCTGCCTCAAATTGAGTTTCCATTGAAGGAAAGATAGTAATTTGAGTTGAGCTTCAAGTCAGTCAGTAAGCACTCATGTAGGGACTGGTCCATGCCCATCCCCATCCCAGTAGCCTATTGCCCAGTCTGGAAAATACCCCATGGATCCTGCTAGGAACCCTGAGTGTGGTGGTCCCAGGCAAGGGGAGGAGGAAGAGCTGCAATTTCAGTGTGGTGGAAGGACAGACAGCACAAATCTACAGGAAGGAAGGCTTTGGCAGGGGATTTTCCCTGTGGACAAACTCTTTTCCAAGTGATACAATGCTGATACGAAGGACAGAGAGAAATCACAACCCGGACTACAACAACCATCTGATTTTAAGAATCAGACACCCTTACGTGTATTTTCCTCCCTGTAAATTCAAGCAGCTGGGGGAAGGGTGGTAATCAACTACTAGGTGTGCCCCTATAGTTTAAAGTACCACTGGAAACACAGTGAAAAGATCAGACTGGTTAGCAGTTTTCTGATCTTTTTACTACTTTTCATGGCAACAACACAAAAGCAAGTAATGAGGGTCATTTCTACAGGCTTTGTTGCACTGCAGGTAATTGTACAAATATAGTACTACTCAAATAGCAACAGCCTAAAAACACATGCTGGTATTTTCCTATTTCCCTCCTGCCCTTTCCCTTAAAATCTGATACACGGAAGTACTTAAACATGCATTTAAGATTACAGTTATACTGCAGATTTTGACAGGCCTGAACCCAAATCCCATGATTGAAGCTCATGGGATTTCATTGTCTGCTGTTGTCGTGTCTTAAGTAAAGCAGAGGTAGTCACAGCTGAAGGGTGAGGAACAGCTTCTCGAGTCTGCCAGACTTCATGCTGAGAGTCGCTGCCTCCACACTGATAGGTGCCGGCACAAGCGGGTGGCCTGCAGCAGAGTCAGACACCCCAGCTTTAACCACTACTGCCACTTGCCCCTGCTCCCTTCCCAGCAGCACTCCCTAATCTGCTGGAACAATCAGAAGTATTATCAGAAATCAGGAGAGATATGTATCTCAGCCCAAGTTCACCTACAGCTTTTCTTCTTCTTCCATCCATATTACATGCAATAAGAAACCCAGGCCTCACTAAAAGGTCTGGCTCTCTTTTGACATAAAGCTACCTGAGTGCTTCAAGTCTGAAGACATATCCGAATTCCTACCTTTAAATAAATGCCCATGTGGTTTTTATTCAGTAAAAGACCTTAGATAGAACATCCGAAAACTTCAGAATATTTCTGCAACCCAAATAAAAATTTGCTAAAACAACCCTTAAATGAGTAACAGAGAAATTTCAAAAAGCTTCCTGATTCTAGCTAAAAATAAAACAAATATTTTATTTAGAAGTATATGGGGCTTTTGAAGTCTTCAGAGTTTGCCAAACTATTCAATTTCTCATACTCAGGCACAGAGATGAAAACTCATCAGGGCTGAGATGATCACAGGAAGAACCTGGCACAGGCTGCTCTCTTTCATATGCCCTCATGGTTTTTCTGCCAAAAATAAATACATCTGATCACAAATGCTAACTATTATACATTTTTCATCTAAAGGCAACGACCTTCTCTGCTCCAGTGTGCCATACAACATTTTATTATCATTGTGTAGTACCAAATCAGTTTAACTAGTTAGCAGTATCAGAGAGCTAGTAATTCCATTTGACCATTTGGATCCATTTGACCTCACGGAGCTACTGCTTGTTGCATGAAATACTCCAAGTTTACTGGTGTGATTAGACACAGAATTACGTATCTGTAAAGTGATAACCTAGTAAGTACAGAGATGTACTTCATCTCTAGTAAAAATGATAAAACTAGTGACACAGGAGCATAACTTGCACATGTACAAAACTATACCCCAGCAACTCAGAATACACATGATATTGTTTTTTGTTTCCATTACTCTGACTGTGAACTTGAGTACTTTCATTGCTAACAGAAACACACTCCTGAAATGCAGCCAGAAAATTACAGTTTCATGGTGCATAAACCTCAGGCAAGAATACTGTGAAATATTTTTACTATGCAAATAATTATATCAACTATCAATTTCATCAAATGACCCTACTGCTGAAGACTGTATTACTAATAATAAACAGCAACAGAAGCAAGCATAGAATAAATCTATTTGAAAATCAAATTTGTTTGATACATTCCTCCTGAGTTACACTAGAATACCAAAACCTCAAAAATATTCATATAAGCATTCTAATAAACATACTCATTGAAAGTACATTAACCTTATTGTTATGTTTGAAGTTTATATCTCTATGAGCATAGTCTTACACTCTGCATACTTCCAAACTGGTAAGACTGTGTGTGCAGAAGGAACAACTGGATATTTTAACCAACCCAACAAATGGCTTTGTAATAGGAACAAAACTATTTTTAATTAAACAGAAAAACATATTGTCAGAAGGCTTTTTTTTTGAGTTATTTTTCCACAAAGAACACATTGTGTGCCAATATTACACAGAGCAATTCCTATGATCCTTGAAGTTAACTGTTCAACTGAGGAAATTAAACTGATTTTTTTTACTGGCAAATTTAGTTTCTCAAAGCAACACCAGACAAAGTAAACAATGAATGTCTACAGTTTCTCCAGTTACAATACTCCAATAAGCCATATCCACCTCATTGAGCATAAAGGCAAAATACCTGCATTTATATATTTATATGTTTTTAATATATATTTAGACAAATTTGTATGTATATTTATATCTGCAAAACATCACATTTATTTTAATAGCTCAGAATAAGATCTTGACTGAAAGACATTTGCCATGTTGATTTGTAAAGACTCAAAGCACATGCTAAAAAATTGTTTCTGTATTTTCTTAACTAAATATGATATTGAACAGTGTAGAATTGAGAGCTCTATTTCTAATGTAAAATAATTAAGACATCTTTTTCAACAGAGCAAGAGTAATGTAACAGCTTTTTCTTTCTCTCCCACTCCTAGCACATTGCAATCCAATCAATTTTAGTGGGTTTTTTTAAGCTCCAGAAAGGTCCTCAACTTGTATTTTTAGATTTTATCCTCAAAGTGCTTCTCTCCCATGTCCTTACATAACCAACCAGAGGTTGAGCTCATAAAGTAACCTGATTAATATACTTGCTCTGATTATTTATTTTAGAGCTTCTTGAAACCTCATGATACTGCCAGGGAAAAATCACACATGTTTAAAGTAACTTCAGAGTACCATATTTTGTATCATCGTATACAGGCTCTTATTTCAATTCCGTTATTTGTCAGAGAAGTACCACACCAACAACCACACATTTTTAAAATTCCAGTTCAACAACAACTGAAAAAACAGTTTGTATCATTGACATTGTAGCATAAACATATTCTGCTCACTCGTATGTCTTTCATTTTCCTTTTATTTGAACAAAGCAAAAAAAGAAGAAAAATCTATCTTTTAAAATTACGCAGCTCAACTGGCAGATTAACAATGTAAAACAGTTGGGGGAAAAAAAAAGACATTATCAAAATAGAAGGGGTTTATAGCAACAAGTAAATTCTTACACACGTACTGAGATAAAATCGGCTTCTGTATATAAAACAACTTAAGTCAAATTGAGTTTCACTACTGAGTTAAGATAAATTCACTTTCTAAAATCATCCGAAATGTGTTGATCATTACAGGAACAGGACTGGGTTTAGAGAAAACTGTTCCAATTGAATTCCCACTACTTGCTTTCTCCACAAGCTGTTTTGGCTCAGTGTTTTAATGCTATTTTAATTCTTTTAGATATCTCTTTAAAAATAAGTTTGAAAAAGATTTCTACTTAAACACAAACAATCAGAAAGTAGATTTTTGCTATGAGTCACTTTCAATCACTTCATTTTCCCATTTCCATAAAAATAACTTTTCAATAAAAGGAAGAAATTAAAAGACAATTCCGGATAAACTTCCATTACATTTTCTCACATTATCTTGAGTCATACACCTACTTTTCTCTTGAAGGCCCAGCAAGAAAAAAAGGAAAGGAAAGGAAAAGATTTGGACATTTACATAATAAAAGAAAAATGTTTGCTGAGTTTAGCTTTTTTGGTCCACTGACAAATTATTACTGAAAACCAAAAGATTAAGTACACCTAGTTCAGAATAATTACTCATTTGTATTAACAAAAAAAAGTTGCAAAGAAAAACACTACTAACTTCAGAGAGCAGCAGTCTTATGACTATCAGTTGAAACCACCCTGCAGATGTCAGATTATTCAATGTCATATAAAGACATACCTTTTTATCATATACATCTTGCCAATTTACTCCAGCAAAGAAACTATGGCGCATGATTTCTTTTGCATCATCTGGGCCTCCACCAAGTCTAAAGAGAGTGGGGAAAAAATCATATTAAACAAGCATTACTCTTAAAGTACTCTTAAAGGGAGATTAAGTTATTGCAATGGTTAGTCAAAAACAAATGGTTGCTTTTTTATCTGGGAACAAGTCTCACGTTTAATATGTAATTATCACCTGCTTAATATGAATTCAGGTGCTCTCAAGAGAAAACGTGATAGTAGAAGTATCCATGCTACAGTCTATTCTATTTAATTACTTCAACTACAGTGTTCATTACTGTCCATGATGAGCTTTTTCAATAATTCATTCATTTTAAAAACACACTTAAGTTTAGTTTTCTTGAAAGACCAACTAACATTATGGCACTAATCAAAACCAAAACCAACCCAACAATACCAACATAAAATTTTGCCAAGGAGGTGCCAGGCACTGAATCAGTAATGACTCACACATCATTTTTATACAGTGTTAACTGCTGTTGCATCTGGGTGCTGTAACAATTAACCAATTACCATAAAATAGTCTCAATCTGAGTCAATTAGTATAAATTAATAAATTGTAGGCCTGCTGAGAAGGTTATTTAAAGGCCATTGTAAATAACCACACTAATTCACTGTGGTCCATAGCTTGCCAAAGCCAGACTCTGGCAAATCGTCTTAGGAAGTGAATTCCACCTACTTTCGATAAACTTGCCCAAGGTGATTTGAGCTCATGGAAGTGGTCACCGCTGCCAAAAAAGGAGGGTCCCACCCCTGCTCATACCTCTCCCCTCTCACTTGCATCTACAGCATCATTCCCACTGATGACTGTGAGCTGAGTCAGTGCACTATCCTGGAAGAAAACTAACCCTACAATGAGAAAATGAGAAAAAACTGGCTATTTTTTTGTTGCATTAGCAAGTCAAACTTGACTCAACAAGTTTAGTGAGCTTCCTTGAGCTGCTGCTGTTGGTGAAGAAAGAACCACAGATCCAAGGAAGGGAATCTCTGCCCCTTTCAACAGCATGTGGACTTTCAGGACTGCTCAGCTGCCACCTTCTTCCTGAGACTAGCTATGCTACTGGTCTAACAGAGAGAAGCTATAACAGAAAAAAAGCTAATCTTAAATGAACAAGCGGCCCATGCATGTTAAATATTAACAAAACGAGTAACATAAGCAGTTTGTGTTTCACTAACAGGAACTGCTAAAGATATAAAGACAAATTTTAGAAGTAACCTTCTCAGTACGACAAATTCCTCTCTAAAGCATTTATTGCAAAGAGCAATAATTCTCACAACCAAGAAAATAAATCTGTATTAGTACTACTAATTAGTACTACCACTATTAGTACTGTATAATTACAAAAAATATTCTGTATTCTGAACTACTACCTCAGTCTTGCAGTAACTGGGTGTAAAATTATTCTCATTTCCAGGCTATATTCCTCTTTGTTTCTCAACTACTCATTAAAAAATTCTCTATCTCTGCAAAGCATCCCAGTCAACCTGCAGTCTCCAGATTTCTCTCTATATCTTTCCATCCAGCTGCTCAGAGAAAAGCTGAGTTGCAGTTAAACTCTATGCTCCCACCCTACTTAGCATTAGCTAGCACTAGAACGTGAATATAAATAAGCTTGCAAATATAACACTACTGTCTGCAAAGATTAATTATGAGGAAGCATCTTTTCCATTCTAAAGGTTAATATATTTGATGGGTCAGATTGTCTGGAGGTTAAAATGCATTAATAGTTGCTACAGGAACAAATTTTTACTTTCCTCTCCCTGTATTTGGCTGGTTAGTCACAGTTTGCTCTCACTGCACGCAGTGAATTCAGTTAAACAGGCAGTGCTGGGCAGCAGCAGAAAGGCTGACCGCTTGTGCTGTCCTGGATGCTGCACTTGGCTGCATGATGGCAAATCCCTCAGAGAGACAGGGCAACCAGTCCTGCCCTGAGTGCCAGCGAGCAATGCCCACTACTGAAAACTTCTTGAGAACAACCTGAGGATGAGGGAAGATTAGGGAAGAGAGACAGATGGGCAGAAGAACGCCTGCAGCCTTAAAAAATGCCAAGAGACTCACAAGAACAGAGAGACTGGGGAAAAGAAGGAACCTACAGACAAATCTCACTGATTTACAAAGACAGAGATTTGTTTTAGAACCACAGGGGACTGGACATGGCTGGTCAAGTGCAGGCAGCACTGGAAAATGGCTCTCCTAGGCAGCAATCTGAGAGGGAAAAGCCCACCACAAAAGGGCACAGGCAGCATCTGGGTGATACTTGCTTTCAAACCACTGTTTGAAATATAAATTTCACTCAGAAGATGTATTCTTTAACAAGTCACTAGTTTACATAGTCTAATATAAGATTCATTTACGTGCCATAATAAAATTTAGCTGTGGCTGTCTACCCATGTCTTCTGGAATGATCACTTCTAAGAAAAGCGCTGTCGTCCCCATGAGACTACAGCCAACTCAGGGTTAAGTCATACTTAAAAGTGTTATCTTCCATGTGCTTTTAACTGTTTTGCTAGTTAAATTCGCTTTGAGTATCTTGCTGTATTGAAAAAGTGGAAATGGCTGCAAATGGCTCTTTCCTGTGACTGACAGGTCCTTTAGTCAGGAAGACCAGGCACCACTGGCATATTTTTACATTACCCAGTATAATTATTTATTACGCCTGTATATCCAAGTAATTTCACTTACCGCTTATTTGGATCCTTTATCAGTAGGCCTGATAGTAATGATTTTGCATCTGCAGACAGAGTTCGAGGAAATTTTATGTCCTCCATTAGTATCAGTTCAAACAGTTTCTCATGATCTTGGTTGTAGAACGGTAATCTTCCACACATCATTTCATACATGACAACTCCTAATCCCCACCAGTCCACTGCACGACCGTAGTCATTATCTTCCAACACCTGAGACAGAAAGCAAACCCAGCTGTAAGACATGCACTATTTCAGACATGACCATTTCACCCTATGTGATGCGCCTCTACATGAATGCATTTCCAAGACTTTATTTCCACAGTGCGCTACAAGGACTCCCAGAACCTGGCTCAATACATGCAACTGCAGTACTGACCCACATGAGCTCACTCAAATTCCAGGCAGAATGAGGACAGTACTGCTCAAAGCAAAATAAAAATTCAAGAATGACCTGCTCAAAATTATCATGACTGCATTTTCCCCCTTTCCTAAGTCTTCTACCATCCCATTTATAGTGCACAGCTTTAGGAACAGACACTTCATCTATGGGCACTATCGCCGCAGTTATCATTCTTCTGGGAGAACTGAATCTCCTTGCTCAGTCACTTCCCTTTCCTTACCCCACCTGTAAGAATAAAGCCTCACATTTAGAAACACTTTAATTTTACTAAGAGAAGTTTAGCTTCTTTAAGATATTTGTTTATATTAAAAGTCCTCAATGCGTTTCTCCTGACAGTTTCATTACATTCCATGAAATAGCCCAAAGAGCTGAAGCATGCTAATGCAAAGAAGTATGACAAAGTTTATATGATATTACATTTACATGATATTACATGATCACAGAAATATGGTAAAGTTTATATAATTTGTTAACATAATGCCTCCAATGTTGTGTACCTGAAAACAACCTACTCCACAGCCCTTCTCACAGCAGCTCCAGAGAACAGGAATAAGGAATCTAAGCAGCGTCAAGCAGTCTTGACTTTAATATGCCTTCATATTAAATTGTAGAAACGGAGACAACATAGCAGCATTTACCCATAATGAAACCATAAGCAATAAGGAAAGTGAATATATACATATATAATTCCAAATTCTGTGAATTTCTAGAATATCATACCCTTTGATTCAAAGAAGATGCAACAGAAGTTAATGAATGGTAATAGAGAAAGCACTACAACTGTACGTGCAAATAGCCAGTATTTGTTGCAGAAAGATCTATTAAAGAGGCAAAAACCTAACAAGAAGAAATTAGGCTTAAATAATAAATAGTTAGAAAGATAAAGAAATGCAGCTGATACAGTTGCATATTTATAAATAATTAAATAATTCTTTATAAAGATTTGTTAAGATATCACTAAAGGGCAGACACTGAAAGCCAACACATATGACTGATTTTGCAAAAAACCAACAAACTAACCCACAGAAAACAAAATATTTTTTACAACACACAGACACATGCAATAACCACCACAAAGAGCTCACCCAGATTAAAACTGTACGCAGACACACAGGAACAGTTATTTAGATATATAATAGTGAAAATCTGGTGATGCGAAGTAAGGCAACCTCTAACAGACCAGAAATAATCTTTTTCCATGAGTACCTTATTTTATGATTGTATAAAAAGTGTAAAATGACTTCCAGTAAATTCCTGGAAGGGAAGGGCAGTCACAGTCCTCACCCAAATAGGGACACTGAGTGGCTGTGACCACATCATAGGACACAGACACTACCTTAGTCAATCTTAACGAGGGGTGTCAAGCTCATTTATCTGCATCTCCTTTTTCTCCCCCCAGTTAATCCAACCCTGCTCTGAAGTATCTGGTCGATGCTATTAGTAGAAACAAAATGCAATCTAATCCAGTGTGGCAATTTTGACAATCTCACAGTAATTAATGCATCCATATTCCTAGTTTTCACTGTCCTTAAGGATTACTAATAGAAACATGATGAAAAGAAGTGTATTATAAATCCCTCTTGTGTATATATGATTAAAAAATCATAAATATTAACACATTAACACATACTATTTACAACTGTGCCAAAACACACAGACTCGTTACATCATTGATATTTCCAAATAGAGGGTGAAATTTTGGAAAGTGTAAAATACAACAAATTATCTGAATTAGTACATATGACAAAACTAACTAAAATAACTCCCGCATTTTAAAATTAAATGTTTTATGAGTTTGAGCATATTGCAAGCTATTTGCTAAAAAACTGTATATGAAATCTGTGACACTTGTCTTTAAATCACCATTTCTTCTGCTACCGAATAAAAGCATTATATATTTTTCTACTATATGCATTCGCCCTGTTACTATTTCTCCTATTTGTACAGTTAGCTGTTCTTTTCTTCTGAAGCGAGTAAAATATATAAAATTGCAAGGCAGTGGCAGATTAATTTTACAAGTTGAGGTGTGGTTTGCATGTGTGATTTATAAAAGAAAGCAACAGGAAGATAAAACGTATCATTCTCTGAACAAGGCAAATCACATGGCCAACAGCTAAAGCAAACTGTATCTGGGGCTTTACCTAATTTATGCAGGACTTTACCTAATAATAATAAAAAGTATGAGCAACCTTTTGCTGCATTCCCACAACAGCAACAAAACAGTGGTACAAAGAAAGAGCCAAATGTGATTTTTAACCTCTTTTTACATAAAATCATAAAAAAGCATAAAAGCTGGATTAACTGCCTCCCAAACCCGCATATCACCAGCCGGGTTCTCATCCCCAGCTGGCAAAACTGGCAACTCTTTATTTTTGTTTAAATACCTGGTTTACAGCCAGCCAGACAAGCAAGAGCATCAAAAGGGTTTCATTTAGGCAAAAGGAAAACAGCCTGAAAATAGTGTAAATAAAGCAAAATGCATCTCAACTTATTTTAATATAAATATAATAAAATTGTGCATAATGCGTTCACAGTAAATACACACAATTATTTTCTTTAAGTAATTTCTACTCCTCATAGTGCTAAGAAACTCCAGGATTTGTAGACTGTGACAAATCAATGGAAGTGCTGGAGTCCAGCAGCTCCTATGACCAAATCCATACAATTAGGGCAGGCATGAGAACATGTCTATACACACCGCCCTAGCATTACAGAATCCTTTCCAAACAATTCCTGGATTTGAGGGATTTGGTTTTAATTACACTGAACATAGGTCAAGAAAGCTTCAATTCGGTGCTAAAATGAACATGACACACAGCTGCAGGCGTTGTACCCATGAATAATTCAATCTTTTGCCTACCATGAGGTAGATACCTGCTTTTAAAATGCCTCCTTTGGCTGTGAGGGCTGATACTGCTGTCCCTCTAGGATTTGTGGGGTATCCTTGTATATGTGGTGTTCCAGTCTAAGTACCTGGCCAGACACTGAGAGACACTGTGGAAAGTTCGAACTCTTGGACTTTGGACGCTGCCCTAAAAGCTGCTTCCATCATCTCCGGCCAATTCTTCCCTCCATGAGGTCTTTAATAAATACACTGTCCTAGCAACTCGGTCCCTTTAAGGTCACAGCAGGAACAGCAGCAGACCCACCAAAACTATCATAGGGGGCACAAGCTCAACCACTCTGATACGTGTTTTAAAGTAATACATTAGTACTGTATTCTAGGGGTATCACACAGAAGGAACACATAGAACTCATAAGCTACAGAAAGAGCAGCTATGAAGGTATGTGCTTTCTTGCACAAACAGATCATTCAAATATACGACTGTCCTTCCCTCATCTGCTTCACACACATGGGATGCCAAAATCCCAAGCCACCTCGTCAAGATCGAGGTGAGGTTTTAGGAAACAAGAGCTCTAGCACAATGTAACTTCAGTGCTTGGATCACATAAAATCACTCATCCCTATTTTACACCACGTATCACTCTATCCAAGTGACTTCCCAGCGCTGAACAAAGCAGGAGGTGGGCTGCCAGCAGTTCACTCTGGATGATACCACAGATTATGGGAAATAAAACTCAAAAAATGACCATCATTTTTATTACTTGAGGGAATCTCACTCCCTTCGTTTTTAAGGCTCTAGTTCAACAGCTGGTTCTTTCAGAAGCAGCGTCAGCCTAACTCACCACAACGTTCCTTACCTCGCCAAAACTATGCAACACACTACATTCAGAAAGTAGACCAGTACTAAGGAAAAAAAAGGAAATAAAAGTTTTCACCCTGGGCAATTTTTCAGCAGAATCAAGTTTTCTGACCTAAGCCACTCAATTGCCACATGAATAGTTGCAGCAGCACCAATGGGAGCACCATGGCAGGCAGCATCAGATGGGGCACGCTGCAGAAAGAGATGCTCATCAAACTCTGCCCCAGTGTCACACCACAGAACACACACTGACTCTGCCGATTATCCCTGTGAGCACAGGCAGCTGCAACAGCCATGCTCACTTCACGGGAAGATCAAGGGCCTGATTCTCTTCCCAACCTGTATTTCTCTAAACACTCCAGTATTTGTCCTGGTTTCAGCTGGGACAGAGTTAATTTTCCTCCTAGTAGATGCTATGTTTTGGATTTAGTATGAGAATAACGTTGACAGCACATTGGTTCAGTTCTTGCTAAGTGATGTTTACATTAGTCAAGGACTTTTTCAGCTTCCCACAGCAGCTGAGAAGGAGCTTAAACCAGGACAGCAGCATAACAGGGCTCCAAAGTGGGCATGAACTCATTGCTGCGCTCAAACCCTTCAATTTTTCAGGTGTTGATGCTCCTTTAAAACTTACACCTACACCTGCAATGCAAGAACACAGCCTGAGTTTATATGGATGCTTTTAAAAAAAGCTGCAGACGTGCTACTGAAGTTTGCATTTTTCCAGTCTTAGACAAGCATGCAAGAGTTTAGGTAACATACACACTTTCTAACAAGCAAGAAACATTAGCCGGGCATCTGCTTCCAGGCACATGCAGGTACTTTGGTGCTTTTACGCCTGTTTTAGAGGCACTGGAAATTATTATAGTTTCAGCTAAGGGAAAGCTATTTATTTACCTGAAAACTTTCATTTGTGTTGTGGTCAAAAGGCAACCCAACTCTTTTTAAAATTTACTGAGACAGCAGGAATAGTCAAATGGACCAAGGGAAAACAAAGTATTCTCTACTGACTCCACTGCCTCTGCACACTTCGGGGTTTCTGGAGAGTATTATTGGCAATGACCAAGTATATGATGGGATAGTGTTTCATACACACAGCAAAGACC